ATATATAGTTTGATAAACAATTCTTATTATATTTTTGGTTTTATTTCAGGTGTATTATATGCAAAAAAACGTTGAAGAATCCGGCAGGGTGGCTGACGAAGTGAGCTGCAGTTCTTTTCTCCAGAAGGAGGTGGTCTCCCTGCTGAGACAGGAAGTGATGTCAGATAGAGACAGGCAGTGAGGTCAGCTACAGACAGGAAGTGATGTAGGAGTATACACAGGAAGTTATGTGTGAGATGTGAGTTTGGTGGAAGTAGAGAGGAGACATTGCTGGAACTAGCAGAAGAGAAGGTGAGAAGATATTTTTGTGTCCAATACATAGGGGGGAAAGTTGCAGAACTTCAAGCGTTGCGCCTTGAAGCCACACCCACCTTATTGACCATGTCCACTTTGGTCACACCCTCAAGTATAAGGTTGCCACCTTTCCTTCAAGTGAAACCTGAACAGTCTAGTGACGCGCCGACATTTTTTGGGGGGAGAATGAGTCGTGGCTTATTCATATGTAAATATCACAGTTGAGGCTATTTTCAGTGGGGGGGGGGGGGGAGCCCCTATCTTATTTTTGGTTGCCCCCGTCTGCCTGACATCTTGTGTCCGGGTTTCTGTTGCCACAAAACCCGGACACGGCATTCAAAACCCGGACTGTTCGGGTGAATCCCGGACAGGAGGCAACCCTACTCATGTATTCAGTAGGCGCAGTCCATTTTCGATCTCGATCCCTTCGAGGTGTCCCTCTTAGTTCCCTTGATGGTGGCCACCATGATCCAATATTTCCCCAGCAACACCTACCTTAGACATGAACTCCAGCTAAAGCTCTTTCTTAGTTTTCCATGGAGAAGGAAAGGGTTATAACTTCCATCAGATTATTTTGGTCTTCATCCCTATTGGCCTTTATTTCACTCACGTTCGGTTTTGTTTGTCCAAATGGAGGCAATGTGAAGGTAAACCTCCCCAACCGGGACTTGGGCAACAGAATACGTCAACCGAGGATCTAAGGCTTCTCCAGTGCCGAAATAAAAGGTTTGGTTAGTATTTAAAGGGAATCTCTAGATAACATTCAGTGAGATTCAAATACAAGACCCGTAGTAAAGTAAGCAAAGCTGATTGAGGTGTGAGAACTATGGAGGAACATTATGGAGAACTATGGAGGAACATTATGGAGGAACATTATGGAGAACTATGGAGGAACTCTGTGTAGACATTATTCATCCCGGTACAGTCCTCATAATTCTCAGTTTATTATCTATCTACAGAGTGGAGCGCCCCCTATAGATCACATGAACATATGAAGAGGAATGGACGAAGACCAAAGTCGTATGAGTGAAAGGATCTTGGACCTCACCCTGGAGATCATCTACCTGCTGACCGGAGAGGTGAGGAGTATTCTCGGAGGTCACATGACATCAATCTAAGGAAGACTCAGTCCTTACCAGAGTATGGAGGAGGATTCTGGGAAGTCTATAGTGATAATTGTTATTTTCTCCCCTCACACAGCATTATGAAGTAGTGAAGAAAATATCTGGTGAGCCATTAACACCCAACAGATATCTACATGGGACATCACCCATCACAGAGCCTCCACCTCACCGCATGACAACAGAAGATAACAGAGCCAAGAAGATTCTAGAAGCCACCCAGAAGATCATTGATCTGCTGACAGGAGAGGTGAGCTGTGCCGGGAATTCTGGGACATGATCCAGGAACAGACAAGGGGCGTGTCTGGGTGGTGACGGTATCATTGTGTGTGTCAGGTTCCTATAAGGTGTCAGGATGTCTCCGTCTATTTCTCCATGGAGGAGTGGGAGTATCTAGAAGGACACCGGGATCTCTACAAGGACGTGGTGATGGAGAATGCCCCGCCCCTCACATCAGCGGGTAAGAGGAAAGAGCAGTACGGAGGCTCCGCCTAGATCCCCCATCATCTGATACACACATAGAAACAATGTATTCAGTCAGTGTGTGTCTCCTACAGATGGATCCAGTAAGAGGAACCCACCAGAGAGATGTCCCCGTCCTCTGTATTCCCGGGACTCCACCCAGGAAGATCTCACCCTCCCCCACCATGATCAGGTAGGTCTAAAAATGTCTTCTATACTATGAGATGTAAATGTTCTGTGTAATCTTCTGTATTTTTCAAATAATTATTTGGCGTTTTAGGATGAAGAACTGAAAGACATCAAAGTTGAGGTTAAAGATGAAGAAGAAGATATGCTGGAGACTGAGGCTCAGCAGTCTATGGAGGAGGGTGAAATTATTTTGAAGAGTAAAAATAGGGAATCCTCTCTTTATATTGACACAAGTAAGAGACAACAGATGTAGGGAATTTTTACATGTTTATTTTTTCATTTATATGAAGGTCCATCTCCATTCCTCAATATAACGTCATGTGACCAACAAATGAGGAGGAGATACTATACACCATATGAAGGTCCATCTCCATTCCTCAATATGACGTCATGTGACCAACAAATGAGGAGGAGATACTGTACACCATATGAAGGTCCATCTCCATTCCTCAATATAAGGTCATGTGACCAACAAATGAGGAGGAGACACTGTACACCATATGAAGGTCCATCTCCATTCCTCAATATAACGTCATGTGACCAACAAATGAGGAGGAGATACTGTACACCATATGAAGGTCCATCTCCATTCCTCAATATAGAGATACTGTACACCATATGAAGGTCCATCTCCATTCCTCAATATAACGTCATGTGACCAACAAATGAGGAGGAGACACTGTACACCATATGAAGGTCCATCTCCATTCCTCAATATAACGTCATGTGACAACAAATGAGGAGGAGATACTGTACACCATATGAAGGTCCATCTCCATTCCTTCATGGCTGCTGAGTGACTACTAACATTTATTTCAAAATTGTTTTCCATCAGATGGACACTATGTCGGGAATTCCACAAAGGGACGTCTTATTCTATCTACAGATTGTTATGAAGGAGATGATGACATCACACAACATTCTCCAGGAGTGAATCCCATTACTCATAATAGACATCACAGACCTTCCCATTCAGAGACATCGATGGATCCCTCTAATCCTGAGGAATCTTCTCATCAATCACGGACTGTTACTCCAGATGACCATCTGAGATCTCACAGTGCGGAGAGATCAACAGATCCATCTAATCCCGAGGAATCATCTATAACCCAACGAGTTCATACAGGAGAGAGCTCATTGTCATGTTCCTTGTACGGGAAATCACTTAATAAAAACAGCCTTCTTAGACACCATAGAACTCACACAGCTGTGCGTCCTTTCTTATGTTCAGTGTGCGGGAAGTGTTTTTTGGAGAAAGGACATCTACTTATACATCAGAGAATTCACACAGGCGACCGTCGATATTCATGTTCAGAGTGCGGCAAAAGTTTCATTCAGAGAGGGGACCTTCGTAAGCACCAGCGAAGCCACACAGGCGAGCGCCCCTATTCATGTACAGAGTGCGTAAAATGTTTCATTCAGAAAGAAGACCTTCTCAAACACCAGAGGATTCACACGGGGGAGCGCCCTTATTCGTGCACAGAGTGCGGAAAAAGCTTCAACCTAAAAGGAAACCTCCATAAACACCAGAAGATTCACAACGGCGAACGTCCCTTTTCGTGTTCGGTGTGCGGGAAATGCTTCATCCGGAACACTTCGCTTGTTAGGCACCAGAAGATTCACACGGGGGAGCGTCCCTTTTCGTGTTCAGAGTGTGGGAAGTGTTTCATTCAGAAAGGAGAACTTATAATACACCAGAGAATTCACACGGGGGAGCGTCCTTTCTTATGTATGGAGTGTGGGAAATGTTTCGGTTATAGAAAAGCGCTTAGTAGACACCAGAGAGTTCACACGGGCTAACACGATTATAGCAATATGATTCTCCAAGCAAACAATGCTAACACTCACAAGAACCAAGCTGTGGCAATACGTGGACAACACTTTTTTCCAGGTTGCTATTGGCTATTGCTGTACATCATTGTTCTTTTGTTGAAGCTTTACGTTGCTTAATGTATAATTATGAAAAAAAATGACAGTTAATATATAAATATTAATAAACTTAAAATTTTTAAATTATGTGACAATGTAGTCTAAATTCAAACTTTGATTTATTGTATGGTGATCAGTGGGAAGAATGCTCCTTACATTGGGGGTCAGTGGGAAGAATGCTCCTTACATTGGGGGTCAGTGGCTCCCAGAGTCTCAGAAACGTACCAACCGTGAAAGACTCTTGACCTCCTCAAAAGGATTGTGGAGGACTTCCATGTTCGTGTGACAACACGTCAATCCTCAGTGAGGATAAAGGGAACCAGCTGACATTGACGGTTAGTACATACCTCGGGTTTCTTATTCAGGAGGACCTCAAAGGGTTTGCTGTTCTATTCCAGGAACGGCAAACAGAGGGCTAGACCTGCAGACATCTCGGAAAACACGGAACTGTCCCTGGTTCTCCATCCCAGGAACAATTCCTGTCCCTGACTGAGTCTACACCGGACCACCTGTAGGCTTCGGACCTGGTCAGACAGCTCACACATACCACACCCAACCCCCAGCAGGAAGCCCGGGGGATAAAGAGGCTCTCACATGACAAGGCCCACATATTAATGTCCTTCACCAGCGTGTATCACTGGCCATGAACCTCCTGGGGGTTGGCTGGAGAGACATAGACATCCCTAACATCCCACCATTGGTTGTTCTGCTTTGTGGCCGGCAGACGCAAAAGCCAAATGAGCACAGACTATGTAATCAGCCAGACTGGACACAGTCCTAGGACTACTAAATGTAAGTAGTCACCCCACATAGAGGACGGTGGCTGCACTACTTTGAAGCTCACCACACACATTATTATTATACGGGATTTATATGGCGCCAACAGTCTGCGCAGCGCTTTACAATATAAGGAAGACATTACAATCACAATACAATTCAAGACAAGATGGTAAGGAGGGCCCTGAAGGAGTCTGGTAAGCCAAGCGAGCGGAGTTTTTTGAGGAGCAGCGGGTGGTCAACAGAGTCAAAAGCAGCAGAAAGATCTAATAGCAAGAGTAACAATCTGATTGTACAATCTCCTTTAGATCTATCAGCGATTATGCAGTGCAAGGGCCCAGCCTGATTGGACACACATACATTGGATGGTTTAGGTAGGTTTTCGTATCACCAGGTGACCAGGGAGCATGGGGTCGGCTTTCTGGCCAATAAGGAAAGCCGGGGGGATAACTTGCTGCCTGGCTTCCAAATTGGCCAGCTTTCGCGACCAATCAGGAAGCCGGCAGCAAGTCATTTCTCGGCTTCATGAGTGATGAGGGAGCATAGAGCTGGCTGGTGGGCAAGTCATTACCCGCCCCCCCGGCTTCCTGATTGGCCATGAAGCCAGCTCCATGCTCCCTGGTGACAAGGAAGCATAGAGCCGGCTTCCCTTCCAATCAAGAAACCAGGCAGCATGTAATGACTTGCTGTCTGGCTTCCTGATACCAGAAGTTCCGGCATCGGGAGCATTTGGGCGAGTGCGAGTATTTGCCCAAATACTATCGGCACCATTACCGATACTAGCATGCGTACATCCCTAGTTTGTACACTGGGTCCAGCCTTCTACGCGTTTCGCCGAAGCGGCTTCCTGGAAGATCGGAGGTGGCCGTTTTCTAAAAAATAAGTAATGAACGAGTCTAGAAAACCAGGGAGCATCCCTCATCACCCGGGAGACAGAGAGGGCGGAGAACAAATAAGAGGGACTACGCAGGAGCACAGCACCCATCCTTACATAGAGCAGGATGGTCTCCGGTCATTTCAGAAACTTCTCCGGGTTGAAGCCGCCCCCATACATGGCGCCGCCGAACGCTCCGCTCCCCATGCTGCTGGTCCGCACCTCCTGCACCGCCACTCCCTGCACTCACCGAGCTGGGCCGCCACCAGCACGCCCCACCTGAGTCACAAGTATTCAGAGGGGGTGGGCGTTTAAGTATCTATTTATTACGCGCCAATTTTTGCTTCGTTGCGATTGGATATTTTTACCAATTACGTTAAATTCCGACATTCGGATGCGTCCGAATTCTAACGCGGCCGAATGCGAAAGAATCCGAATGCTCGCTTAACAAAAATTTGAGCAGGCAATTAAATTTTCTTAAATGACTTGGGAAAGTGAACTTCCTGAACCTCTATCTCACGCCGTGTATTTAAAGGTTTCAGTCACGTCTTCGATTTTCAGCTCGTGATTTAGTTTCCCAATTTAAAACATTTTCGATACACAAAAAATTTTCATCTCCTTCTTTGGGTAATAACGGTGCAAAAAGATTATTAAAAAGGGTTCAAAAACCACGTAGTCTGCAGTGTTTATCTTTAACAGGAAGTGATATGAGCCAAAAGACAGGAAGCGATGTATTAAAGGCAGGAAGTGATGTCAGATGCAGACAGGAAGTTCCGGGTGAGAGGTGAGTTGGGAGGAAGTGAAGAGGAGACATTGCTAGGAGTGGAAGCAGAGGAGGTAAATATATTTTGGAGGAAGGATCGGGCGGTGACGGAGGTCCTAATGTATTAAAAACATTCTACGGGAGGTCACGTGCGTGGAAGATTCAAGAGACGAGGTGAGTCGAAGAATGATTCCGGCCTTTGGATCTCATTGTTACACTCCAAGGTATTTCTTTGTTGTCCCAAAATCGGAGTAGTCTGTTACCGTCTCATATCGGAGTCCATGGATTTCTTTTCACAGAAGGTTACCGTGGAGACATCAGTCATTTATTACATTGTATCTTTCTGACTTGATGTTCTTCTTGGCCTGATAGCCCGAAACGGTTCCTTCCTCGAAACGTATCCTCAATAATCCAATATTGACCACCAAACTTATTTTGGAAGGGTCCGATAGGTCAGAAGTAATCAGTCTATATCCCCGTTGGTCTGATATCACTCACGTTCAGTTGACATCTATCGCCTGGAGAAGACGTGAAGAGATCTCCTCAACCGGGACACAGAGAGAAGAATGCGTCAACGGAGGATCAAACACTTCTCCACCCAAACCTAAAATAAGCAGATTCTATTACTCGGTGGGCTTCAAAGGGAATCTCTGGTTCGCCTTCAGTGAGATTCAGAAACGAGACCTATATCATAGCTGAAGAAGCCATCTGAGATGTCGGAATGACGGAGGAACTCTGTGAAAACATTATTCATCCCGGTCCAGTCCAGATCACTCTCAGTTTATAGTCCATCCATAGAGAGGAGGGTCCTGTATAGTTGACCAACTCAATGAGGGTGGACAAAGACCAAACTCAAAGGACTTGGAAGTCTTTAGACCTCACCCATGAGACCGTCTTGACCGATGAGGAGGATTTAGAGAAGGTCCCTTCACTTGTATCTCTGTAATGAAGACGCAGACCTGATCAGAGAGTTGAGGAGGTTTTCGGTGAAGTCCGTACTGATAATTTGTTGTTTTCTCTCTTTCAGAATCATCGGTTAATGAAGAAAACATCTGCTGAGTCATTGACCTCCAGGATCTGTCATCACGGGACATCTCCCATCACAGGGCCTCCACCTTACTTCCCGAAAAACAGAGGTAAACGGCACCAACCGCCACACACAAATATATTTATCTTCACAGGACATCACCCATCACAGAGCCTCCACCTCTCTGCTTAAACAGTGCCAAGAAGATTGTAGACGTCATCAAGAAGATCATTGAGCTGCTGACGGGAGAGGTGAGCAGTACCGGGAGTTCTGGGACATTATCCAGTAAGGATGTGTCTGGATGGTGACTGTATCATTGTGTTTGTCAGGTTCCTATAAGGTCTCTCTGTCTATCTCTCCATGGAGGAGCATTTAGAAGGACACCGGGATCTCTACAAGGACGTGGTGATGGAGGATCAGCCGCCCCTCACATCACCGGGTAAGAGGAGAGAGCAGTACAGAGGGTCCACCTAGATCCCCCATCATCTGATACACACATAGAAACAATGTATTCAGTCAGTGTGTGTGTTTCCTACAGATGGATCCAGTAAGAGGAACCCACCAGAGAGATGTCCCCGCCCTCTGTATTCCCGGGACTCCACCCAGGAAGATCTCACCCTCCCCCACCATGATCAGGTCCATAGGACTCAGCATGTAGACCTAAAAGGTATTTTGTCATTCTATGTAACTCCTTTTTACAAACATATTCCATCATCTTTGGGGTTTTAGGGTGAAGAACTGAAATGCATCAAAGTTGAAGTGGAAGAAGAAGAAGAGACGTTGGTGAGTGGAGCTCAGCAGTCTATAGAGGAGGGCGGTCCTCTCATTTCCCGGAAGTCCACAAAGGAAGATCCAACCTACACAGAGTATGATCAGGTAGATGGAACTGAGCAATAGAACTCACAAATTATTCTCCGATATTCTTTGTATTCTCTTACTATCAGACTTCACTTTTCCCAGATGTCATATTTTATCATCTTTGGGGTTTAGGATGAAGACCTGAAAGACATCAAAGTTAAGGTCAAAGAGGAAGAAGAAGAGACGTTGGTGAGTGGAGATCAGCAGTCTGTGGAGGAGATATCTTCTCTCTATATTGACACACGTAAGTAATAAACTCGAACTGCCAAAACAGTTGACATTTTAACTTTACATCTAATATTAAAATGGTTACATTGGTTGGAAAAAATACTTATATCTATGAGGTTCACCAAACCGGAGCCAGAGGAAGGCAATTAACCCGTACAAAGCTTGGCATGTCATGTCCCCAACAAATGAGGAGGAGACACTGTACACCATATGAAGGTCCATCTCCATTCCCCAATATAACGTCATGTGACCAACAAATGAGGAGGAGATGCTGTACACCATATGAAGGTCCATCTCCATTCCCCAATATAACGTCATGTGACCAACAAATGGGGAGGAGATACTGTACTCCATATGAAGGTCCATCTCCATTCCCCAATATAACGTCATGTGACCAACAAATGAGGAGGAGTTACTGTACACCATATGAAGGTCCATCTCCATTCCTCAATATAACGTCATGTGACCAACAAATGGTGAGGAGATACTGTACACCATATGAAGGTCCATCTCTGGTCTTCAGTAGGATCCCTAGAATTGAGGTGGAGGAAGGTCTCACATGTCATCAATGTACAGTTGCCCGTTACGTTTTGGGTGTATGGTCCGGTTTCTGGTTTGTATTATGATTGTTCATACAAGACCTCTAAGAAACGTAAACATACGAAATTCTTAGACAATTAACACAAAACTTTCTTTCCAACAGATGGAAACTATACGCGGAATTCCTCTGAGAGACGTCTTGCTTTATCTTCAGATTATGGTGACCTCACACAACATTCTATGGGAGTGAATCCCATTACTCATAAGAGACATCACAGACCTTCCCATTCAGAGACATCAATGGATCCGTCTAATCCTGAGGAATCTTCTGACCAATCACAGACTGTTACTCCAGATGTCCATCTGACATCTCAGAGTGCGGAGAAATCAACCGCTCCATCTAATCCCAAGCAATCTTCTTCGAGTCATAAAGGGGTTCACGCAGGAGAGCGTTCCTTTCCATGTTCAATCTGCGGGAAAGCTTTCGCCGATAACAGAAAACTTTCTCGTCACCAGAGAATTCACACGGGTGTGCGTCCCTATCCATGTTCTGAGTGCGGAAAATGTTTTTCTGTCAGAGGGAAACTTCTTATACACCAGAGGATTCATACGGGAGAGCGTCCTTTTTCGTGTTCGGAGTGTGGAAAATGTTTCGCGGAGAAAGGAAAACTTCATTTGCACCAAAGAAGTCACACGGGCGAGCGTCCTTATTCATGTTCGGAGTGCGGGAAATCTTTCAATCAGAAAGGAAACCTTCTTAAACACCAAAGATGTCACACGGGAGAGCGTCCTTATTCGTGTTCACTGTGTGGGAAATGTTTCATTGAGAAAAATGCTCTTCTTATACACCAGAGGATACACACAGGCGAGCGTCCCTATTCATGTTCAGAGTGCGGGAAATGCTTTATTCAGAAAGGAAACCTTCTTAAGCACCAAAAACGACACACAGGAGAGAGACCATTTTCGTGTTCAGAATGCGGGAAAAGTTTCACTAAGAAAACAGCATTTCTTACACACCAGGGTACACACACAGGTGAAAGTCCCTATTCATGTTCAGTGTGTGGGAAAACATTTCTTCTGAAAAATGCTCTTGATAGACACTATAAGATACACACCGGTGAGGGTCCTTATTCATGTTCAGAGTGTGGGAAATGTTTCATTCAAAAGGCCAACCTTCTTAAACACCAGAAAAATCACACAGGGGAGCGTCCTTTTTCTTGTTCCGAATGTGGGAAATGTTTCACTGACCAAAATGTGTTACTTTTACACAAGAGAAGTCACACAGGTGAACATCCTTATTCATGTTCAGAATGTGGGAAATGTTTTGTTAATAAAGGAGAGCTTCGTAAGCATCGGAGAAGTCATGTGGGTGAGCAGACATATTCATGCTCAGAATGTGGGAAAAGTTTTAATGAGAAAACAACATTTGTTGTACACCAAAGAACTCACATGGGTGAGCGTCCCTTTTCATGTCCAGAGTGTGGGAAAAGCTTCAGTCAAAAAGGAAACCTTCAAAGACACCAGAGAATTCACACAGGTGAACGTCCGTATTCATGTTCAGAGTGTGGGAAATGTTTCATTCAGAAAAGGGACCTCTTTAGACACCAGCGATGTCACACGGGAGAGCATCCCTATTCATGTTCAGAGTGTGGGAAATGTTTCACCGACAAAACTGTACTGCTTCTACACCAGAAAATTCATACAGGCGAGCGGGACTATTCATGTTCAGTGTGTGGGAAATGTTTCATTCAGAAAAATTCGCTGGTAAGACACCAGAGGATTCACACGGGTGAGCGTCCTTATACATGTTCAGAGTGCGGGAAATGTTTCATTCAGAAAGCAGACCTTATCGACCACCAGAGGATTCACACAGGTGATCGTCCTTTTGCATGCTCAGAGTGCGGAAAAAGTTTCAGTTATAAAAAATCACTTATGACACACCAGAGAGTTCACTCAGTCCATACAATGTTTAACATTACCACAATATGATATATTTTGTTAACTTGACTTATCCAAGATTTAATTCAGACTTAAAAATTATGGTAATCACGTAATCTGATTCTGCAAAATAAACAACTTGTACACTTCACAATATTCTGATCTGAGTCAGTTTTTTTTTATATGACCATAATTCACACGGGGGTGCTCTGAGATTTCTGCAGCAAGAAATGTAGTGTGGATGGTGGAGGAGAGCTGTCAGAGAATGTAGTGTGGGAGGAGAGCTGTCAGAGAATGTAGTGTGGAAGGTGGGGGAGAGCTGTCAGAGAATGTAGTGTGGATGGTGGGGGAGAGCTGTCAGAGAATGTAGTGTGGATGGTGGGAGGAGAGCTGTCAGAGAATGTAGTGTGGATGGTGGAGGAGATCTGTCAGAGAATGTAGTGTGGATGGTGGGAGGAGAGCGGTCAGTGAATTTAGTGTAGATGGTGGGAGGAGAGCTGTCAGAGAATGTAGTGTGGATGGCGGGGGAGAGCTGTCAGTTGCGGGTCTTCTCACTTCTCTCCCAGCTCATTACAGATGTAGATCGGATGGTCAATGGCAGTCTTTCCCTCTTTGTAGCAGAGCGGAGATTGTCCTGTGTGTTTGTGTTGCACTCGTCTTGGTCTTCTTCAAAGTCTGGGACTTCCAACACTGCCCCCAGTACCAGTACACACAAAAGAGGGGAAGCATTAGGATGACCAATGTCAGAAGGCCCCAGTGCCAATGTGGGATGAATAACTTCTCTTCTGGGGTGGTGTTATGCTTGTTCTGGTTCTGCCTCCCAAGCTACACCCTCCTTCAGTGGGGTTCCTGCCCTGAAAGTGGACATATACAGTATAGCAACATTGCCACAACCTGAAGAGCCATCAGCTCAGAGGTGATAGCCTCCTGTCATCTAGTGTGCATGGCTTCTCGCCACAACCTGTACCTGAAGAAGAGGGCAGAGGATGCATGATAGCGGGTCATAAGGAAATGTAGTCCTCTGACCGAAAAACCCCACCGGCAGCCTCCTAGGATCCATGTTACACATCTCAGGAGGCTTCTGGGCAGTCTTCCTGAAGTCCATCATCTCAAACATACTACGTAGGGGACCAGCAGAGAGTCATGAGGTGGCAGCGAGGAAGGTCACATTCCCTGCGAAGAGTCGGGTTTGAGGAAGACAACTCTGGCCTTCATGGGCTGGTAAGCTATTTCCGGGAGAAGGTCTTCTACAGGTTCCTCAGACATTCTGCCCTGCAATGTGTACAGTATATGATGTAACTTCACTACACAGTCATTAAAAATCATTCCACTTATTTTTTCCTTTATTTACCTCCAGAAAATGTATGAATTTTCATAGACAACTTGTTTTCGTTACATTTTTACTTTACGACTTTGACCTCCGGTGTAAAATAGTCAACAAAATTGAAGGACGCACCGAGACGTGGACGTCAAAACATCGAAAAATGACTTTAAAACTGCAGTTTTTCTATTTTCCACAAGGTGGCGATTCCAGGTATTGTCAGTGGAACGCAAAGACAGGAAGTGATGTTAGGTACAGACAGGAAGTGTTGTCAGATAAAGAAAGGAAGTGATGTCACATATAAATAGGAAGTGTCCTGTGAGTGGAGGCAGAGAAGAGACTTTGTTGCAACTGGCAGCCGAGGAGGTAATAAGATATTATTTCATATTTATACCTGGTAACCTCCCCCCACAAGTTTTATTTGGTCCCCCATATTCACTGCGATGTCTTTCATCTCCATCAGATACTTCTATCCGTATATAGAGGATAGATACATCCTAAATATAGAACCATTTATCCAACTGTCCATCCAGAGCCGCCATTTATAGACCGGATACATCCTAAATATAGAACCATTTATCCAACTGTTCATCCAGAGCCGCCATTTATAGACCGGATACATCCTAAATATAGAGCCATTTATCCAACTGTCCATCCAGAGTCGCCATTTATAGACCGGATACATCCTAAATATAGAGCCATTTATCCAACCGTCCATCCAGAGCCGCCATTTATAGACCAGACTCATCCTAAATATAGAGCCATTTATCCAACTGTCCATCCAGAGCCGCCATTTATAGACCGGATACTATTTTTATTGTTATTTATATAACACCAAGCAGAGAGGTGAGGAGGATTCTGGGAAATCTTTACTGAAAACTGTTACTATCTCTTTACTCAAGTTTATAAAGACAAGAAAACACATTGCGATCAATTAACACCCAGCAGCTGTGTTCAGTGGACATCACCCACCTCACCGCCTGACAACAGAAGTAAATGGTGACAAGAAGATTCTAGAAGTCACCGAGAAGATCATCGAGCTGCTGACGGGAGAGGTGAGCGGTGCCGGGAATTCTGGGACATGATCCGGGAACAGACAAGGGGCGTGTCTGGGTGGTGACGGGAGAGGTGAGCTGGTGCCGGGAATTCTGGGACATGATCCAGGAACAGACAAGGGGCGTGTCTGGGTGGTGACGGGAGAGGTGAGCGGTGCCGGGGATTCTGGGACATGATCCGGGAACAGACAAGGGGCGTGTCTGGGTGGTGAATATTGGAGTTTCATTAACCCCTTAAAGACCAGAGTGTTACACCCCCTTCCTGGCCAGGCCATTTTGTCAGTATTCAGCGCTGCGGTACTTTGACTGACATTTATTCCGTCACGCAACGCTGCGCTGAAATTAATTTTATACCATTTTTGGGGGGACACATAGAGCTTTCTTATGATGGTATTTAGTCACCACTGGGGGGGGAGGGGGGGTTTATTTTGTACTATATAACAAAAAAAGTACCCTGAATTTTGACAAAAAAACTGTTTCCCTATAAAACGTTATGACACATTTATTATCACCCCAATTTTTTGGGTAAAATATAAAAGTCGGGGTCACGTCGGGTAAATAGACACCGAACACGTCAAGCTTTAAAATTGCGCGCGCCCGCGAAATCACAGAAAACGGCCGCATCCAAAATTGGCCATAGGCGACGCTTTGAAAGCTTTTGCCGCTCATCAGTTTCGTGTTATCGGCGATTGATGGCCCGAGAATGATCGCTCTCACTGCGACGTTCGCGGCGATATGTAACATGTGCGGCGTAATGGGCGCAATCCTCGTTTTCGCACCTAGGCGCACCCGACGCATGTTTGCGTGTGTATGTAAGGCGGCGGGGGACTTTAAAAATATTTTTTTGTCTTTTATTTTAGTTATTTTTTTATTTGTGAATATTTTTTTTAACCCTTTTTAATTTTTGTAAAACTTTTTTTTTTTTTTTTTTTTACACTTAAAGGGTTTCTAAACCCTCCGTTTTTTGTTTTTTTCTTTGCATATATCTACGGCTAGCAACCGGTAGATATATGCAAAAAGTTTTTTTTTTTTAAAGCGCTTTAACAGCGGTTTACACTCACCCTGCCTTCGCCGCGCGCTCCCCGTCCCGAGAAAACGAAACTGCTCGGGCGGCCGCGAAGCATCTTGGGTGGCGGGCGCAATGCGCAGGTCGGATTTTCGGACGGGAGACGAGGAGAGACGCAAGGTAAGTCTATAGACACCGCTGGATCGGAAGCGCCAGCAAGGACAGAGGAGTCGGCGCTGGAGGGACAGATGAAAACATCCGGAACCCTCGTCACATAGTGAAGAGAAGGGGATGACTCCCTTGATAATCGGGAAGCCGGGTGGCGAGTCTTTACACGCCGCCTGGCTTTCTGAATGGGACTTGCAGTACTCGGTATTTGGTATCGGCGAGTACTGGGAAAAAATATCGGTACTCGGTACCAAAATACCGGTATCGGCGAATCACTAGATGTAATACACATCACTTCCTGCATTCGGGGACAGGAGAAGAGATCAAAGGGAGATCGAGTACTGAGCTCCCTTAGATCTCCCGTTAGAGCTTTGCTGTGCCAGTCCTAGCTGTGCAAGAACTGGGGGAGGAGCACTGGACACAGGTGGCACAGTGGGAGGAGAGAGAGGTGGCACAGTGCGGAAGAGCCAGGAGGGGGGTCAGTGGACACAGGCGGTAGGGGCAAGAAGAGAGGTGGGGCAGGTAGATGGCTGCCAGCAGCGGGAGAGGTCAGGTAGTCTCTGTACCTCATAGCCAGGATTAGAACTCAAGTGAGCGCTGTACCCCAGCCTGGGATGAGAAGTCAGGTGTGGTCTGTACCCTATAGCTAGGATTGGAGGTCAGGTGAGCTGTGTACCCCATAGCTGGCCCCAGGTCATGGGAGCTGGCAGGGGGATGTGGAGACGTTTTCATGAAATCCTAGGAGCAGCCCATTAATGAGGAGCAGGCGCGGGCCAGTGTGCCCAGGGACTGGCCCAGAGCTCCATGGCACCGAGGACCAGGATACGGCACCAGTCCTCTATAGATAATGTTATTCTGCGTTGCTGTATAATGTATTGCTGGGATTTGTAGTCCTCAATCGCTGGTGGTATTGTGCATTGCTGTATAATGTATTGCTGGGATTTGTAGTCCTCAATCGCTGGTGGTATTGTGCATTGCTGTATAATGTATTGCTGAGATTTGTAGTGCTTTGTAGCTGGTGGTATTCTGCATTGCTGTGTAATGTATTGTTGGGATTTATAGTCCTCTATACAGTGGAAGAACTACAGGGTCACATAGTTGCAGCTGTGACTAGGCCCTAGCATTCTGTAACTTGGGGGTCCCAGACAGGAGGGAGGGGGCTCTGGTAACTGCCGACAATGCAGGTTCCCGGGCCCCCTACCTTCAGTCTGGGGCCCTCCATCCTTCAACTCTGTTCCTGGATCATGTGTATCACAAAGCTCTACAGCAAAAAAACATAGTAATGTGCAATGTGGATGACAGACCCATTTTAATGACTCTGGATCCGCCCCTGCCTGCTAAATTAGGGATTCGAATCCTGTACACCGCAATCGCTGAGAGCCGATTTAATTGCGGATGGCATCGGCGCCTGGCGATATTCGGGATTGTAGGCGGGACTGGACTACATGTCTCAACCACCGGGCGCCAA